AAAGAGTATATCATGCTAACGCAACTTCCTGATAATTGTATTAAAATTTGAAAAGGGTTTCCATTAATAGCACCACCTTTTATAATATCACGACTACCATTAAAAACAATATCTTTGTCAGCAAAAATTCCAGTAAGAACATTTCCAATAAATCCACCTATACCATGAATGGTAAAGACATCCATGGCATCATCATATATGTTAAGTCTCGTCCTCATTACAGAAGCAAGATTACAAAGAATCCCACTTGCTATACCAAAAACAACAGCAGCGTAAGGAGCAACATATCCGGATGCCGGAGTTATGGCAACTAATCCTGAAACAGCACCACTACAAAAACTAACAGCACGTAGTTTATTAAATTTAATATAATCCATAAACATCCAAGTAAGACCACTAAATGAAGCAGCAAGATTTGTTACGATACAAGCTATAATAGCACGATTATTAGCAGCTACGGCAGAACCACCGTTAAAGCCAAACCATCCAAACCATAACAATACTGTACCAATGACTACATTAATAAGATTGTGAGGTCTGTCAATTTGATGGCGCCTTCCGAGAACAAAGCAGAAAGCAAGAGCAGCCGCGCCAGATGATATATGTACAGGAATACCACCTGCAAAGTCAAGACCACCTAATTTTGTAAACCAGCCATTTGCAGACCAACACCATGAGGCGATGATGTCATAAACAATTGTGGACCAGATAAAGATAAATATAATAGTAGGTAATAGTTTCACACGTTCAGCAGCACCACCAATCATTAAAGCTGGGGTAATAACAGCAAACATGCACTGAAAGATTGCAAATATGTATTCTGAAACATGTTCACTTGAGGGTGTTGGACCAGAATCCCAATTAAGATTCATGAAAAACGCGTTTTGTAGATTACCAATAAAGGGGCCGCCAGTTCTGCTAAATGTTAAGCTATAACCCCAAATAAACCACTAAAGAAACAATAAATAATAATACGTTAAAAAAAAGACATAATGAATTAAAAAGAAAAGATTATAATTAAAGGCAATGAATAATTAAAAAATAACCTGTATGGATACAATTGGAATGCACAAAAAACATAGCATTATTAATGATAAGGCATGCCTTTTTTGAGCAAGGCCGCTATATAGGAAGCCTACACCCGGAGTCATTATCCAAACGAGACATGTTGCAGCTAAAACCCAAGCTACATTGCCAGAATTAAAAGAATTATCTGTTGTAGACATTGTGAATAGTCAACCTACTTTAAATTCTTATATCCTATGTAAGAAAGCTCTCGAGTGACGAAAGTGAATTGTACGAATATTTTTTGAGTGTTTATATGTAAGTTAAACGCATATATTGGTACAAAATATTCATGCTAAATCGAAATCATCAGACACATTTCGGGAGGCCGTGACCAAAAATGAAAGTCCGGTGTATTGAACAAAAGATAATTTGGAAATTTGAACGTATTACATGTCAAAATAAAGAGAAACTCATATTTCATGTACGTAAATATGTACGCATTATAAGGCTTTGTGATGTTGATGTGTACATGTTTAAACATAATTTGTGTAAAACATAATATTTTATATAGAGAATTACAATTTGTACTATTTTTGTACTATTTGTACAAGGCAATATAGAAATCTCAAAATTTTGATTATGAAACCACCTTTTGGCTTCTAAAAAAAAATAATTCCTTGTAAAGTTTTTGTATAAATTATACCTTGCCCAATTGCAAACACACACTTACCCTAATCATAAAACATAAGCGAGGGTTGAATTTTTCGTTTGTAAAATTGGTTTGATTGGTATGTTAGATGAATTTTTAATTCAATAAATGATCCTCGTGTATCAACACACTAATAATTTATATAAATTTGGAAATATAACAATGAAAGTAACCTTAATTTTTTTGGCAATGAAATTTAATTATGTCAAATATACTTATTAGTTAATGTA